TATTAAATAGTAAAAATGAAGTAATAATAATAATAAACAGTAATAATAAAGTAATAATAATATTAAATAGTAAAAATGAAGTAATAATAATAATAAACAGTAATAATAAAGTAATAATAATATTAAATAGTAAAAATGAAGTAATAATAATAATAAACAGTAATAATAAAGTAATAATAATATTAAATAGTAAAAATGAAGTAATAATAATAATAAACAGTAATAATAAAGTAATAATAATATTAAATAGTAAAAATGAAGTAATAATAATAATAAACAGTAATAATAAAGTAATAATAATATTAAATAGTAAAAATGAAGTAATAATAATAATAAACAGTAATAATAAAGTAATAATAATATTAAATAGTAAAAATGAAGTAATAATAATAATAAACAGTAATAATAAAGTAATAATAATATTAAATAGTAAAAATGAAGTAATAATAATAATAAACAGTAATAATAAAGTAATAATAATATTAAATAGTAAAAATGAAGTAATAATAATAATAAACAGTAATAATAAAGTAATAATAATATTAAATAGTAAAAATGAAGTAATAATAATAATAAACAGTAATAATAAAGTAATAATAATATTAAATAGTAAAAATGAAGTAATAATAATAATAAACAGTAATAATAAAGTAATAATAATATTAAATAGTAAAAATGAAGTAATAATAATAATAAACAGTAATAATAAAGTAATAATAATATTAAATAGTAAAAATGAAGTAATAATAATAATAAACAGTAATAATAAAGTAATAATAATATTAAATAGTAAAAATGAAGTAATAATAATAATAAACAGTAATAATAAAGTAATAATAATATTAAATAGTAAAAATGAAGTAATAATAATAATAAACAGTAATAATAAAGTAATAATAATATTAAATAGTAAAAATGAAGTAATAATAATAATAAACAGTAATAATAAAGTAATAATAATATTAAATAGTAAAAATGAAGTAATAATAATAATATACAGAACAATAATAATAATAATAATAATAACTAACTCGGATGTCATCGTAATTGGTGAAAAGCAACATCGAAAAACAATGTGACTTTAAACACTTTTAATTGTTATTATTATTCGAACAAAATTATAAACATAACACTTTTATCGTAACACATTGCGTAATTATTATCCATAACTCTATTGCAAAGAACACGTGATTAATCACTGTTGCGAAATCAATACATTATGCATCCTGAACGAATTGTTTTTATGTTCAATTACGAACGGACGTTACCTACGATTTCTAATGATGTCATAAATCATGCGACTATAATCCTGCTCCACTGTACGATGTTATCACACTAGACTATAGGAAGCGTTACTTTCCTTGATCTACAAAAGACGATCGGTACAAACCGAATCACATCAAGTATCTCATTTATTTCTAGTAATAGCAAGAAATGTGAAAGGAGAACATCATTTAGCTCGATGAGGTGAATACCGCGCTGAGCGAAACATGTCCGACAAAGTTACATTTTCCAGGATCTCCAAAGACTCTTTCATAATCGACCGGTATTTTTAAGTTGCGCATAGTTTTTGATCACTATAGCATAATATCGGGATAGAAGACCAATCTAGTAGCCTAAAATACCGTGACCTACGCGCAACCTTTGAGCGCTTCTTAACTCTCGCGTAGCCGATACCCGGCCACCGTTCACTCGGAACTTGACAATATGTTTATTAAATTTTTTAATTTTTTTTTAACGAACTCGTCTCCTCCACGCGTCATAAAAATCATTAGAAATAACATCCTGTACCAAAAAGTTAGGTGCAAAGCAACTGTACTAGAAACTGTAATATATATATTATATATAATATTATTTTCTTTTACTATATTATATATATATTATATATAGTAGATATAATTATATAATAATATTATAAAAATTAATAATACAAATAATATATAATAATATATAATATAATAATATAAATAATATATAATAATATATAATATAATAATATAAATATTTATATAAATAATTATAATATATAATATATACTATAGAAACTAACAACATACTATACGAGAAATTCAGCTACGGGTCATTAGAGACTCGGTGTCGGTTCGCCGAGATTTAAATAACATCAATAACCTTAACATAACCTTGAAATCCTCGAAAAACATAGTCTCGAGAAAAATTACTTGCATCTTACAGTATAATCTCTTCGAAATAATTTTTTCACATTGAATAATATTCTTCTTTCACATTTTTTCCGGCTGTCAAAAACAATTGTGAAATTCGAGGTCAACTTCTCGTTTACCCCGTATAATAGCATAATTGTATAGTGCAGGACTTTCTAAAGAAGACCGCAGTTGTAACAATTTTCCACCATTTTATATTTGCACATTTAACAATGAATTATATGTATATACAGAGTGTCCAATTTTAATCGCCACATGCCATTATCTCCGGAACTATACGTTATTTGAAAATATGTTTCATAAGAAACTTTTTGCTATTTCGAGGGGGCCATAATCCAGCATCGCTATCTTGTTTGTATGTGTACGCTTTTTTTTTAATGGAATCGTATAATTTTTTGTGCACGATTCGATGCACCTCGAAATTGCAAATAAAAATATGTTAAACAATCCATGTCGTAAAACCATTACTTTAGAAAATATTCTAATTTATATTAAAACAAAATAGAGACACTTATTTTCTGAAATAGCGAATATTTCTCGAGTAATAATAATCGCATGTAGCGTTTAGAACGGGACACCCTGTATATTATAATAAAAATACGTATTAGAAATATAAATATATATATATGTGTTCTTAAATCATTCTTAATTGAAAGATAATTATCATAATCTCAAATAATGTTCGTATATGTAAAATTATGTGAATATATATACATAAAATACATATTATAGTTATA